ACCGCCCCTCTGTGGTAAAGACCATTTCTAGGCAGGGGTGGCGTTCAGCTTAGGGCCAGTTTCGACTTTGGCCTCTACCAAGTGCCAACAACATCTTGGGTGCCACTGACGTGGGTAGCAGGCAGCTCCCTGGGGATTTACGGGGCATTGCGCAGTGCTATTCAACTTGTGCCCCGTAAATCCCCAGGACAGCCCGGTGCGTTTTTAGCTCAGGTGACTGCATCTAGGCCACCACTGAAGTGGGTAGCACCCGGCCTCTCAGCAGCTGGGGCAGGCTGTGAAATACTTTAACACAAAGGTCCTGTCAATTCCGAAATGGACAGTCTAGACCTGGGGTTGGCAAATGCCCGTTCAGTGATTCATTACCCCTCCAATGGCTCGGTTCTTTTCAGTTCACTAGATCCTCTCTGGAGGAGGCAGAGCTGCAGAACAGGGCTAGGTAGAGGGGGGGGGGGGGCATTAAGACCCAGCGGTGTCCCACGTTTTTGGGTGCTCTCCACAACTGCGTATTCTGCATAGGGGTAAGGTTGGCTCTGAAACTGCATTTCACATGGGCCTGGAACAGCAATGAAATCAGATGGTCATTGCTTCCCACTGGTACTGACCTGGGGTGGACTTGAACCGGTAACCTGTAAGTCAAGGCTCCATTTCCCAGCTGCCTGAGCCTTGCAGCCCGTCTCTGACAGCTGCGTGTTTCTGTACTGCCCAGTGCCAGTGGTGGGGCAGCTCTTGAGCCCGCAGTGACGCATGTTTTCACTCTAGGTCCAGGATATTGAATTCACCCAGATTGAAATGAAGGTGATTGAAGGCCTGAAGATTGGCAATGAATGTCTGCATAAAATGCACGAGGTAAGGGGGCCCGAGAGCGCTGCATGACGCAGAGTCAGGGGCCTGTTCTGTAGCCCTGACGTGTGGATTTTGGCTTTCTCCACCTAGGTCATGTCAGTAGAGGAGGTGGAAAGGATAATAGACGAAACCCAAGATGCTGTGGAATATCAAAGGGTATGTATGTGCAGTCCTGCCACGGTGGTGCCATGGGCCTCGTGCCTTTTGTTACCGGCGAGACTGAGACCTGCCAGAACTCACGGCAGAGGTTTGACTGTAGGCCTGCGGCAAACAGGCAGAGCCATAACTGTGCATCATAGGCCCCTCTTATCACACGCACTGGCTCGGGTGTGTGCGCTGCTTCCCGCAGCAGTGCTCTTGCTACATGCTGGGGTGTTCATTGGCACATCTGTCTCTCCCACGCAGCAAATAGATGAAATGCTAGCTGGTAGCCTCACTGAAGAAGATGAAGATGCCATTTTAGAAGAATTAAATGCCATTACTCAGGTGAGCCTTAATTTCATGCTCTGGTAATTACTTTTAATCCACGTTTCCAAGTGGCAGCCTTTCCTCAGGCAAGGGGGCGTTTCCCCTGTGGGGATGGCTGTTGATTTAATTCAGCTGGAAACCCTAATTAGCGCTCCCTGTGTGTGTTCTGTGTGTCAGCTAAGGAGCCAGCCAGATGCTGTGGACCTAGGAGACGCTGAAAGCACGGTGCATGATTTCAAGGGTTGTTTTTATTGACACTGTTATTCCAGACAGTAATCTGGTGGATCGGGGGCGCTGTCTTCGCCACCCAGCAGTCCCACTTTCTAACCCTTCACCCTTTGTGGAGTCTGTGGGAGGGATGTGAAATATCGGTTCATTGAATAGTCGATGAATTCTTATCGGCAGGGCTCAACAATTATGGCCACCTACTCGCCCGTGGTGAGTAGGTTTTAGCCCGGCACAGCACCGCAGTGCAATCAGTGCATGCGCAGCGTGCCAAACCGCGCGGCTGGCGAGTGGGGCTCACCGCTGCTTGTCAAGCCCTGCTTATCCGTTACTTGACTGTTCTATAGTCCCCAGAGGGGAGACCAGCAGCCAGTGCACTCGGCCCCACTCCCGAGGAGCCCCCCTGGGGTGCCAGGCAGGAGCTGATCTGCGAGGGGAGCCAGTCTAAAAACCAGCTCCTCTTGTGGACTGGCTGCCTGTCGCCCTGTGCTGCTGCCTCTGATACAGAGGCAGCAGCGTGGGGTGGCAGCAGCCCCTGTCTGGAGCAGGGGTCTGAGCTTCCAGACCCGGCATGAGTCAGAACTGAGCCGAGCTGCCTGCCTGCCCAGCTCCTAATACACTTTAAATTCAGAGCTGCAGTGGGGGTAGGTCTGGGACCTGGCCGGCGTGCTAAAAGAGCCCTGGCAACGGGGGGAGAGGGAGGAAGATACACGTAGTCTATATGTTAGCCTATAAGCTTTTGCTTATTGGTTAATCGACTACACTATCACATCCCTAGTCTGAGGCTATTCCAAACTCCAGGCTTGATGTTATCTGGCTTTACTAAGGGCCCAGTTTGCCCAGCAAGGCTGCGGTGGTGGGAGTCTGCAGCCGGCCCTGCCAGGAGGAAACGCGGGGCTAATCTGTGTTCGTAATAAGCATCATTTTGCAAAGTCAGGCGCTGCCTGGTTCCGCACTGAATCTAGATGCTCTGGGCAGCGCCGCCTCCTGCAGCTCTGAGGGCAGATGCCGTTTTGCACGAGCCCCCCGGGGAGCCACTCCCGGAACAGATCCCAGGTAGCGTCTCTTTCTTTCTTCGGATGGCTGCCCGCTCCTGCCTCTTCTCAGGGGCTGACCCAGGTCGTGTGCAGCGAAGGCAGCACTTCTGAACAGGGGTGGCAGTGAGCTGGGTGGGCCGAGGCCGGACAAGCTTCCTCTGACACACACAGCTTCACCTGGACCGTCAGCCGGGGAGCCACTCCCGGAACAGATCCCAGGTAGCGTCTCTTTCTTTCTTCGGATGGCTGCCCGCTCCTGCCTCTTCTCAGGGGCTGACCCAGGTCGTGTGCAGCGAAGGCAGCACTTCTGAACAGGGGTGGCAGTGAGCTGGGTGGGCCGAGGCCGGACAAGCTTCCTCTGACACACACAGCTTCACCTGGACCGTCAGCGCCCTCGCGGCCCAGCCTCTCGCGCTGCTCAGCCCATGCATCGTAGTGCTCTCGCGCTCCTCGCCTCCCTGACTCCTGGGAGCGTTTCTCCTTGCAGGGAGGCGTCCCGGCGTAGCGGTAAAGCATTGACCCTTCGTGGCTTGCGGAGCTCTCCGCTAGAGACCCGGCTGCATTTCTTCCCCAGAACGTAGCTTGGGATTCTGCGATACCAGAAACATTGGGATTCCTCCCAGCGCAGCTGCTGTGGAGACTCCGGTTCCAATCCGGTTTCTGCTCTTTTTAGGGTCCTAACCTAGGCCCCTTACTGTCTCATGAGCTCCAAAAGTAGGGATGTTAAATTTTGATTAATCAGCTAATTGAGTAGTCGATGGAATTTCCATCCATAAGTCTATCAAGGGGGATGCTCGCTATCCCGCTGCGCCTCTCCCTTTGAAACGTACAGGAGCCACAGGAAGCTGTTGTGCACTTCAAAGGGAAAGGAGCAGCAGGCAGGACGGGGCGAGCGAGACTGTTTCAATCCCCGCTCGTGCCGTTTCCCCACGGCCCCCTGCCTCCCACAGAGCTGGTGCTGGTGCTGGGGGGAACTGGCTTTTAAGCCAGCACCAGCTCCTGCTCTCCCTACCTTGCTGCCTCTGATACAGAGGCAGCAGGAGGGAGGGGGAGCAACTAGTCAAGTTCCTACTTGACTACCCAATAAGCATTTGTTATCGGGTAGTTGACTAGTCGCTTACATCCCTAGTCGAGAGTCTCTGAACACGAGGCCCCATGGGACATGGGCTCTGCAGAGGGGATGGTTCATGCCTCCGGAAGGGGTCCGTGTGGTGGCTCACCCCCAGGGCCCCATGCAGGATCTGTAGCGGCACGTAGCTGATGAGAGGAAAATAGGCCAGACTGCAAGGTTTGGTGCAACGTGACACTCTTGGGCCTTTGCCTGGCATGGGGAGGAAGGAGTTAGCCTGGCCCTGGAGAAATGAGGTTCTGGCCTTGCTGGAAGAGCTGCAAAGAAACCCAGCCCCTGGACGGTGGAGCTGAGTCTGTCCTGGGTAACGGTGACTGAGACACTGGCTGTGGGAGAGGAATCCAACCTCCCGGCCGTGGCAGCCGAGAGCAGTAGAAGTCAGAGGATGTCTGCCTTTGGCTAGGACAGTACCTGTAGCTCAGTCAGTCCAGGCTGGCCATGCCCTGATGCGAGCTCTACTTGGAGAGGGCCAGCTGAGCCCCTGGGAGGATGCATGTTGTCATGACACGGAGATGAGGGAGCTCTCATCTAGCCATGCCCCTTCAGGAAACCGCTTGCTTTGACTGTATATTGTCTGGCGCGAGGCGCCGGCCTAGAGGACCCCTCGCTCTTCCCTTCTCGGGTTTCTTGACTGTAGCTGGTGTTTAAGATTGTATTTTAACTGCTCGAGCAGCATGTGGTGGGGCCGAAGGCGATGCTGGATAAATAGAGCTACTCTTGGTGCACCATGCAGTAGATTCCCCAGGTGCTGCTGGGCTGCTCCTGACCTGGCAGAGAAACAAGAGCCAAGTCCTGGTTTTCTTGCAAGACTTGAGACTCTCTTCCCTTATTCTGAAATGACTTTCTCTCTCCTTCACAGACGCATCACCTGTCAAGATCAGGGCCAAGCCAGAACTGGTGGCAGCATCTTAATTTCACTCCTGGGGATAACCCCGAATAACTTCCATCATGGACAGTGTGGAATCCCAGCATGCCCTGGGAACAGGGAACGCCCCGGTAGCATCCCAGCTGCGCTGGGCGAGTGTGCTGGGTCAGGTTCCCTAGGCAGGGGATCTCCGCAGATTATCGCTCTTGTATCAAGATTATTTTCTAGCGCTTTCTTTTTGTAATTTAAATTCTCAACGCACTCGGCTGCGCGGTCTCTGGATTAAACAGCGACTGCAAAACTTCTCGGGTCAGGCGCTTTCTGCAGGGCGGCTTGTGCGGCCAGCGCTGCCCTCGCCGATCTCTTAGAAGCCCGCGTGCTGTTCCGGGAGCGCTGGCGCGTTCGAAATGGCCTTGAGTCGCTAGTTCCGCTGCACGGCTGGCCAGCCACCCCCCAAGCCTCCCTTGGGCTGCAATCCTCCATCCTCTTCTCTTCCTCAGCTGATTCTGGTTGTGGAGCGGGCTCCCCTAGCTCAATCAGGTGGGCTGGGTGGGCACTGGCATCCGAGAGGCCACTCTAAGGGCATGGGCAGCATGCAGCCCAGCTGAGGTCGGCAGCCTCGGGCTGAAGGAGACGCCCTTCGGGGCCAGGAGAAAAGTTTTTCGACTTCAGATTCCTTGCCGCTCGCGCACCCTTGGAGGAGGTGTAGTTGAGCTGTGCTGACATGCGCCCCGCACAAAAGAGGGTGCGATGAGGCTGCCGACCTCCTCCCATTGAATCTTATTTGGAAACTTGCTGATGTGGGAAGCCAATTCCAGCTGGGATCTCTGTGCTCTTGCCAGGCAATGGGCCTCGTGTTCAGTAGCCGCGGCCGCACTCAGGAGAGAAGGGTTGCTCCGCGGTGAGGTGGGAAAGTCTCCTACTCGGCCACGAGTCAGAACGTGTCTGATTCAGAGCTCACGCTGCTGCCCGTTTGCCTGCAGAAAGCCACGGTCCTGCTGCAGGTGGCTGAGCAGAGTAAGTTCTAGGAATCTGAGGAGCCTCTTAAAACTATACAGCAGGGACTCACCTGCTTAGGACGCTGCCCCCGGCGGCTTTGCTCCCCACCAGTGGCGGGCTCATCTTTGCGACATGCAGCCGGACTGAACTAGCTTCCTCCCCGTGTTGTGTGCACGTGCATGGGGGGGGGGAGAAAGCGGCAGTGGGTACAAACCGGGGATGGAGTCTGGCCACGAGCACAAAGCGTGCGGCTTCTTAAATGACCACAAAGACCTCGTGCCCTTTTATCTTCCACGTGGGCCAGACTGCAGAGCAGTGAAATGTCTGATTTCATTGAGCGGCCAAGGACAGCGCTGCCCTTCCCGTAGCGTGGAGGGTGCAGGTCGGTGTGGCCGATGAATCAGTCGGAAACCGGAGGCCCAGACGACAAAGCTTGGATGGGGCTCGCTTTCTGCCCTGAACTGACCTTGTGTTCACAGAAACTTTGTCCCTGGGCCAGTCGGGTGCGTCTGGGGTTCTCTGTCCTTGAACACCAGTGTGCTTTGCTGGATGTCTGCGACTGGCTTGGAGCGGAGCAGCGCCTGCCAGCTAACAGCGCTTGGCGTGCCGTCCTGTTGGTGGAAAACCAGCCCCTTTGGTTCGCCTTCTGCAATGGGGCACTGAGGTGTAGCCAGAGGGCCCTGTGGGTGCTGCTAAGTAACAGCTTCTGGGGGGCTGTGTGGTTTGATGCTGGGTAATAAATATTCCCAGGGCAGTGCCGCCTTCCCATAGCGAAGAGCCAACAGTGGACGTATTCCTTTAGAGTCATGTTTTCCCTGTGTGACTTCCCAGGGCTGGCCTTCGAGCGGTCTCCCTCCCGCGAGAGACAGACGAGTCCTCAAGGTGGCAGGCCTCTTGGAACTTGCTGTTTCCAGGCTTTTGGTAGTAGATCCCGATTTGTGTTTCCCAGCAGAGCCAAGGCACAAATTGGTGCTAGAAGCATCTTCTCCCCCCGTAGTAGCCGGAGGCCCCCAGGGGACTCTGCTTTTCCTGGTGAAAGTGGCCCTGCCGTTCAGTGTAATTAGACCACGCTCCTGGAACCAACACGTCCGGGCTAAAACGTCCCCTCTCTGTGTCGTCTTAGTCTTTGGAGCTGACCCTTGCGCTCAGCTGAACACACACAACACACGACTGATTGAATTTAATTTAAAAGTAGATTTTGTTGTTGCTGCCAGTGCGAGCCTCTGAGTGGCCTGCAGGAGGCCTGCGCGTGGGTCCCCGCTCACGGGAGAGACAAAGTGCTGAGAGGCAGGATGTTTTATTGGACCGGTTTCTGGCCGTGAGAGTTGTGAGCCGGACAGTGCTGCTCTTAAGGCCCGGGGCAGTACTCGGAAAGCACGGGTAAATCCCACCTGCTTAGCACGAGCGGGTAGCACACGTTGAGAGCCTAGTCAGTAGTGGCGTTCCCAAGCCAGGCCCCTAGCATGGGCGCTTACCGTATGTTTCGCATACGCGGTTAACCCGCCCCCGGGGTCTCGAGTGCCTGTCCCAGCCTGGGAGAAGTGCTCGGCGTCAGCGCGGCAGCGTCTCACCACCCGATTGCAACGCTGGTTCTCTGCTTTCAGCGGGGACCCCTGCGAAACGGTGGGGGAGACCCCTTTGGGAATGGACCGTCTGTCTGTCTAGCTGTGTGGGGTTCGGTCTCTTTCGCAGCCCCCTTCGTCCCTGGACAGGCTGAGCAGCTGGCACTGGAAGACCCTCAGTGCGCGTGTTCTCCACCAGAGGGAGCGCTGTCCTCGCCAGCGCCGGGGATTTAACCCATTCTTGGCCAATCCAGGGTCTCCAACCTTTCAACCACAAGATCACGTTTTCAATGAAGTGCAGTGTAAGATCCACCTCAAACCCAAATACCCTTTCCAGGCTTCCTTCCCCCCCCTCCTCTGAGCCCTGCTCCACCCCTTCTCCAGGCTTAGCCCAGGCTGGGAGATTTGGGGATTTCAGGGTGCAAGCTCTGGGAAGGAGTGTAGGTGCAGGGGGCCTCACGTCTGGGGCAGGAGGTTGGGGGCAGGAGGGGGTTCAGGGCTGGGACAGATTCAGGAAGCAGGCTCTGGCTGGGCACCGTTTAACTGAGACGGCTTCCGGGTGGTGGAGCAGTGGGGTTAAGGCAGCTCGCTCCTGCCCTGGCCCTGCACCGCTCCTGAAAGCAGCTGGCATGGACAGCAATGGCGCTATGCGCTGCCCCTCATCTACAGGCACGGAGCCCGCAGCTTCTACTGGCCACGGTTCCATTACCGATCGATGGGAGCCGCCGGGGGGGGGTC